GTGCAGAAGTGGCAGAAGGTCCTGGCAGAAGGGGGCTCCGGCTAAATGTCAAGAAGACCAAGTTCCTGAGTTCTGAGGAGAGTGCAGAGCCGATCGTGGATGGACATGGCGAAAGCATCGAAAGAGTGGAGGACTTCCGATACCTTGGGAGTGATCTGGCGGCCGACGGCAGTGTGGACCAGGCAGTAAAGGGGAGGATCAACGCGGCATGGATGAAATGGAGGGAATCCACTGGAATCCTCTGCGACCGAAGGTGCTCTAGAACGCTCAAAGGGAAGGTGTACCGAACAGTGGTAAGGCCTGCGATGCTCTACGGCTGCGAGTGCTGGCCCCTGAACAAGAATCACGAAAGCAGCTTCACTCCACTGCCTCCTGTCCAGCTGAAGGTGAGGGAGCAGCGACTGCGGTGGTATGGGCATGTGCTAAGAAGACCACAAGGGCCACCCAATAAGGAATGCAATGGACTTCGAAGCGCAAGGCAAGCGACCGCGAGGAGCCCCAAAGAAGAGGTGGAAGGACGTAGTCAAGAAGGACCTAAGCGAAATCATGGCCACTGCAGGGGATGCCCTGGACAGAGCGAAGTGGCGACGACTGATAAGAACAGCGGACCCTGCGACGGCGCGGGACTAACGCTAGGGAGAAGAAGAAGAAGACGTTGCTAGAGGGTGGAGACGGGACGCCGATTGCGAAACGAGTATGAACTGATAAGCAAATGACAAGAATCGATAAAGAGGCGTTTGAATGGCGAGTCCAAAAACGCGCGGTACTAAGTAATGTTAGTTATCGCGTACAAGTTAACCGAAGCAGTCACGCCTGGCCTTTTCCCACCGCTGGATTTGCTATCGCTCGGCGTTTCAGATACTCGATAAGGTGTGAGGCAGTAATTGTTGGACGAGTGTAAGCCCATGGAAGATATGATACGATGAGATAAGAAGGTGCGGCTGCTTGATAAGAGGTGCACTCCAGAATGAAAACGGGACGATAACGATAACGGTATCATATCTAGCACGCTCTTATCGCACCCCTTTCCACATCGATAAGTCTTGGTTTTTGCTGAACGGAAGTGGATTTCGGCGCCTTATCACTCCATTGAAAGTTCAACTGTTGTAACACTGGGCAGGACCCCTATCCACTCCAATACATAGCTCCCTTATCGTTCCCATGGAAATTATCGTGACCCACTTCCTTTCTCATAGAGTGTCCCATTCAGCCATTCTACATCGAACAACCACGCGCTGCAAACCCGTCCGCACTGACTCTGCCTTGCCCTGGCCGCGTGAACGGCCTCCTGGCTTACCCAAAAGTCCGTCGAACGCCTGCCCCTTTGTCCTACTTATACCGATCAGACGCTTTATCGCCAGGAACTCGTCGAGAAATAACGTCAAATTGACCACATTTTTACAACGCTGTCACTGGCGCCTTCCCAATCCCAAAATGCGCTGAATGCGACATCTGTACTGAATAGGTAACACGACGTTTAACCCTGTCACTGCTTCAGTGCTCCCCCGCACAGTCTTAGCCGTTGCTTGCAAAAGTGGCACCGTCGCATAGATATTTTGCGCGAGTCCATCGCAGAACTGCGCAACTACGTGTCAGCGAAACCGTCCAAAAATACTGCACTTATGGTGACGTGCTACCTCACCTTTTCGTATCGAATCAACCACGGCGACGGAGCAAAACAGAAGAATCACCAGAATCATTCTCAAACGCGATTTAATCGACCGACATGGTGCAATACCCGGGCTTCACACTTTTATACTGACGCCAACGATACTCCTTATCGTTGTTCATCAAAATCGTTCGCATTCCGATCGAGCTGTGCGTAAGAGTACGGTCAGTCGTTTGGACCCAGGATCTGCGTTATCTCAGTTGACTCCGCGCACTATCGCGGCATCCCCGGTAATAAGGAAAGCCACAGATAGCAGCATATTACCCGTAAGTACCTCTTTTGTAGGTTTATGACCTCCTTAATCCCCTTCTCTTGCAGCCAATGGCAGCTGCCATGCTTTCCATCCCTTTCCCTCCGTCACCTCCACTTTTCCTGGACCTCCCTGCCCCTGGGTGTTATCACAATCACCACATCAGGTTAGAATAATACGTCAACATGAATATAGACCTTACTCTTGAAAACGGTCGTTCTCTCTCAGTCTCTCCTCCCCACCTCCTCCCTCCTTATACCCTCCTCTCGGTCGGCGCATGACAGCGCCATGTTCTCTCCCTTTCTCCTCTCCCCCTTCCCTCCCTCTTCTCTCTGTCTCCCCCTCCCTTTCAGCCTCCCTTTCTTTTAACACCACACCGAAACACACCGACACACACACACACCGCGAGAACTTCTTGTTTAATATATAAAGTGAATTGCCTGCATTGGTACTTCCACTCTTACACTTCCGCGACTGCTTGCAACCATTTTTGAGATTACGGCCACATAGCTCGACGCCATTTATTAGCTTAGGAAGGCCCCAGACTGGTTTGGCGAGACAGCTGAAGAAGCGCCAGCGACACATTACTGGCAAGCTTATCAAACTTAACGAAGTTAATTCTAACAGAACGAGCACGACCCGCTATGGGCTGTTTTCTTCATGGAATTTTTATCTGAACCCTCTAAAGGACTCGAAAAGCTCTTTTGCAGACGCCCAGTCAAAGGACAATCCCAGGTCAGAACATGTGTGCGAGATTAAAGTGCCCTCCCTCTGTGCGCTTTATTCGCGCTCTACATCATCTCTCTCGGCCCTCAGTCTCTCATTGTCACAGCGCAGACGTGCTACGGCAGCGCAGAAGTGCGCAACCTTATCCTAAGTGTTTTCGGCAACTTTTTTTCCGTTTTTTCTTTAGCGTCGGCCATTTCGCTTCAGTACTTCCATAGTGCAGGAGCACCCTTCTTCAGTCCTCAAACCGCATGCCTTGATAGTTGCTCAAATACTAATTAAGAACGTGTACCTATCATAATCACAATGGGCGTGAAGTGAGTACAACTGTGGCAAAACACAGAAATAGTGGCGCGCTCACCACGCGCGGCGGTCCGGGATCAAATCCTGGGTCGTGAGTCGCCCGGGCCAACCAAGCCTTCCATCCCTCCGGGGTCGGTTAATTGGTACCAGACTTGTCTGGGAGGATAAAAACACTGACTTGTACATCGGCTGGCCCCCGCAAGTCATTGTATAGGCCACATCGCATTCAAATGCCACTGCGAATGTACAAATGGAAGTAGAATGCGTGCCGCATCCCAAAAAGGGATTAATCAATCAACGCAAATGCTATCCTTTATTTATACCTATATAATGCTAGAACATGTTCTGATCCCCTGGTCATCATAAGAAGGAGAAAATTTGACGAGTATGCCACGGATAAGCGCGGCGAAATCAGCTGCGGCAGGGCTGTCCGATAGCGAATAACGCTAAGCCCGGAACCAGCCCTTTTGGCGCTTCTCGGCTGGGACCGTGTGCTGAATGTTGGGGAGGGGATGGAGTCTCCGACGGTAGACGGACCACTTCAACTCGGTCCTTGGAACCGACACAATTTGGTGCTTACCTCAGAACTAAGCCTTAAAGAGAGGACGGGTCCGTCCCCTCTCCAAGGCTTAGTCCTGGGGTGAGCAAACCAGCCCTTCTGGCGGAGCTGCTGGACCAGCTGCACCACTTGCGTCAGTACTCTCCTATCGTACCAACCGAGTTGAAGTAAACCGTCGACCGTTGGGGACCCCATCCCCTCCCCAACATTCAGCATACGGTCCCAGCCGAAACGCCAAAAGGGCTGGTTTGCTTACCTCGTAGCGAATGTATCGACTTTGCTTCCCGCATTGTGCCTTGTCGTGTGCGACTTCTGCCAATCAGGGTGTTCACAAAGAGAATCAGCTTCAACAAATATTGGGTGATTATTGCAGAAACGTCCCTATGAAAAACCAGGAACGAAAACTGCGAGGTGGCAGGAAGGTAAGTGTGAGTGCCGTTGGGTGTTCATACTGCCAATCAGAGTTGACGATGAGTGGTCACCGGTTGGCGTCCTTGCTAAATAATTTGCCATGAAGTTACCTTTTCGTTTAATTTTTTAGCCTTCCTTCATCTAAGAGCGGAATGGCGTAGTTGGCGCCTCAGTGGCGCTAAATTTTGGGGGATCAAATCCTGGGTTGTACCCCGGCCGCGCTAAAGTCTTCCATCTCTCCAGAGTTGCTTAATTGGTAGTAGGTTTTTCAGAAGGATGAAAACATCGACTTGTACATTCGGCTGCACGGCTCATTTCACTGTCGGTAGAACAAATGCGCACTCGAAACAGCACACGGTCCTAATGAGAATTGGAATGCGTGGCCGCATCCTACAGGGATCATCGATGTCCAGAATATTTTATCATTGTATTCGTCTATTTCTAGTTCTTAGACTGTTTAATTACAGTATCCCGAACAAGAGGGAGGGGAGTGAGGAACATGTTAAACAATAAACCTACAATATTTCTTGATTTGCTCGCAGAGACAAGCTCCATCACTTGAGAATACGGGTGACGAGAATTGAAATCACATCCGATAAAGAAAAATCACTAAAAAAAACAGGGCTTAAACTGCGTTGTTCGGACTGCGCCATGCACCCAACTTATCCGGAATATGCTTTAAAAGAGCACTACGCTTGTGCGATACATAGTTTGTATTCATCTTGGATTATTTAGTCTGATTACTTTTAATTTTAATTGATTTTGCATTTTATTTATTCTATTTAGTTTAATTTAGTCCTCAGTAGTTTCACCTAAGCTGAATTGTTACCAATCAGACGACTTTACATGACCTAGTGGCTATTTTGTCCTTATTGGGACGCGATCCTGCGCACTGTTCTGGTGGCATTGGCGCTCTCGGCCACTACACCATAATAATGACTACAAAAAACAACCAAGAGTGATATGTTAGCGAATTTATTATTGAAACATACATTATGTACAGGCGATTTGAAAGAATGAAGGCAGATATGAGAACACGAAATTTTAATGCTGTTATGAGACCACCAAATTGGAGGGGTCGATTAGGATTTACGTCGACGGACAAACCGATCCATAAGCTCATCGCATTTGTTCGACTTTTGCGATCGTCCACTTCGACACACCAAACCGCTCATCGATCGACCAGATAGATCTTCAAATGGTTTTTATTTAGTTTAAAAGCCATCCTGGATTCTTGTATAGTTGGGGGGGGGGGGGAAGGGAGGGGCCATTTAGGTAAGCCATAAAGCCGAAGTCATTTAAGCCACGGCAAGCATCTTGTTGTGTTATGAGGAATCGAAGAGCGCATGCTCACGTTATTTATTGTTTTGCAAAACAAATTGCTTCCCCTATATCGAAACTTCTTCACACTTCAGGAAATGGGATTACCGTAATCATTACGACATAATGCACCAAAATGCCCCTGCCCAGCTATGGAATCGCCCTACTTTAAACCCTGATTTCAGAAAATAAGGTGCTAACTTAGTTTGGGGGGACTACGCGGCGCTGTGTTCACCTGTTCCTCTACGGCTCAGTCGGCATTATGTCACTGTATTTCGAAACTGCCACGGTTTGGCGAAATAGTAACGGCCCTATGACTAAGCCCCAGAGAGAGCAGACGAACAGAGCGCCGCGCCGCCGCGTGGTCCCCCCCCCCCAACTAAGTTAGGACCGAAATATAATAGTATTGACTTACTACTTTGCGCGACGTATTTGTAGTAAACGACAACGGAAACCGTCATGAGGATGGTGAATCCCAGCATGTAGAAAGTGATAATTTCACCCGTTTGAAAACGCTGAAAATGGCGCCGAGATTAGGGAAAATCAAAGGAAAAATCAGTAGAGGCTTGACTTACTGGTAGAGAAGTCATGAGAGCAATGGATGCAAATAACCCGACAAGAATCACTCGGATAGGAGCACGAAGATCCAAGAGGCCGAGGGAAGCCCTATAAAACTGCACACACACACATTACATCGTATCGATCCAGCCTCAGGGAGGTGGCTCAGACTTGCCCTCTCATTTCTGCACTTACACTCTCGTCTGATGGTAATTAGCCCTGGAGCACGAAATCCTTGTTTGTGGATAGGAGTGCTCTCACTTCAACAGCACAGATCTAGAGCTTGTGTATGGATCTGAAATCGATCGATATAGCGGTCCTGCGGTGAAATCGGGCGGTACTGTACACATTTTGATTGGAATGACTTACTTGGCTTACAGAATTTGTAGTAAATCACTACAACCAGAGTGATTATGGCAGTGAAAACAGCAAAGATCAATGTGACCTGTTCTCCGGTTTGCATCGGCCTGAAAAATGAGATTTTCATAAGTTTTCCCGAAAAAATCGATTTTTGATTAGATCAAGAAAATCAGTCTGTATGCGAAAATCCGAGAAAATAGAACTGAGTTCGATTTTCTCAAGAAAGTGACCGTAAATGAAGAAAAATCGATGAGAATCGTTCAAGATTCGATAGAAAGGGTCCACCAATGTGATAGTGGCTGAAACGAGCTATAAAAGCAGATAAACAAATCGTCTGAAGGTAAGTTTCATGTGACGAGTAATTTAAGG